TGTGTGTGTGTGTGTGTGTGTGTGTGTGTGTGTGTGTGTGTGGTATTTAGCCATTGACCTGTGCGTTGAGGGGAAACACGACTGTGAACAAATCTGCATTAGTGCACCAGGCACCTTCACGTGCGACTGCAACAAAGGATTCAAACTCAACAAAGACAAGAAGACCTGCACAAGTCAGTGAATTACACACAAAGCTTCCTGTTGTTTGCCTTCACTTCTTTACTTTAACTCGTAACTGTGTTTTGAAAGGAGCTGTATAAATTATTATCATTATTATCATTAAACCCTCAAACAGACATTTATTATAACTGTTATATGGTGAAACTGTCTCTCACAAAGACACACAGTTATCATCACTGATCTGGTCCTGAGTAAAAAGTTAATCTTGTTTATTTGGCTGGAAAAGAAAACACAAATAAACAACATTTTTCAAATGTTGAACACGTTTAAAACAACAGTAATAATAACAGCACCAATCCCTGCACAGTAACAAAATACTCATGAACGTGTTCTTTAGTTAGTTCAAACCTAGTTGACATGTGTGTGTCTGTGCGTGTGCAGGTGTAACTTTGTGTTATTGAACTGTGTGTTTGCAGACATGGACCTGTGTAACACGGTGGAGCACGGCTGTGAGCACCAGTGTGTCAGCACCCCTGGATCTTACTACTGTATCTGTCCAGAGGGACAGCTGCTGCAGGAGGACGGCAAGAGCTGTGGCAGTGAGTCCACTCGCTCTTTCATCATCTGCACAATGTGGATCTGTGAGGAGTCTGTCTCATCTCAGGCGTCATCAGTCACAATCATTAAAAGAACAACCTCACCTGTAGGGTTAGTTTGGAGAGATGGGGGGGGGGGGTCCTGTGGGTCCTGCAGGACCATGAAGACAGACTGCAGGAGACAGATAGAGGAACATCGAGTTAATATCACTGTGAAGGAACGACAACACACTGAGACATTACAAACTACACATGCCATCAAAACAACAAAAGTAAAGCTTGATAGAATGAAAGTCGATCAGGACCAGAACGAACCAAACATAATTAAGTTTGATGATCACACCGTTTAGTTTTTTTTTTAACTAAAACTGATTTAATGACTCTTAACGAGACAGAAGTAGTGGTACATGAACGTTAAACCTAATTAGGACCTGACTGAAGGAGCACTTGATATTAATTTTATTTCTCAGGGGCTGAAATAAAGACTGATGAGGACAATAACTTAATCTCATACAGATGTTCAAAGCAGCTCAGTTTGGTCTGTGAGAAACAAAGAGGACAATTCTTCTGCTGAATTTTCTTTTTCTCCGGGGAGGCCCAGTGAATCCTGACTGGAACACAGTGACTTCATGTGGACATTTGTGGCCGCTCCCGCTGGAGTCACCTGGAAGACGACATCCGTTAGCATGACAACTGTAACAGCAACCAGAAACAACTTATATTTATTATATAAAATACTGGGATCATGTCTTTTTTTAATATGATGGCAGAGGCATTCTTTAAAAAGAAAGACACATTTCTATGATGGAGTATTATCGCCATTAATTTCCTCATTTTAATACAGACGACAGGAGTTTTTCTCTGAATATAATAAACTAATAAAATGTTCCCTTTAATTTGCCCTGATGCTTAAAGTAAAGTCTCCACCTCTTTCTTCTTCAGCCTGCAAGTCTGCCAACATCGACCTGGTGCTTCTGATCGACGGCTCCAAAAGCGTCCGCCCGCAAAACTTTGAGCTGGTCAAAAAGTTTGTCAACCAGGTACAGTTCTTTTTCATGTCAACGATAAGCAGTGTGATGATATCAATGTGTATTCCACATAAATAACAACATGAACAAGCTGAATGTGATGATTAATGTTAGAATTTGTTTTGTCCTCTGCATTACGTCTCATTAAAAAGTGTGTTTAAGTGTTTCACCTCAGAATCAGTAATAATCCTCGTCCACACTAACACACCTGGAAACACACGTCACATGACCATTGGCCTACACCGGTCATGTGGTATAAACAGGAAGTAGATTGTCTGCTTGTCTGCAGTTGGTTGGTTAGGAACTGAAATCACTGCGAATGCGTTACAGCGATGGTGAAAAGTAAAAGCAAAGATTTCTTTTGTTGGAGCGACGACGAGGTGGAACTGTTACTGACAGGAAGTGTTGTCGAGTCATGTGACTGAAAAGAACCAAAGTCAAGAAGAGACTTCAACCTTTTATTCAGCAAGTTCTATCTCCAGACGTGGAACGCAACAGCGAAGATAACTCGGATTCTGTTTCCATTGTTTCATTCTATTTATCTACTGAAATTAGCATCCTCAATTAGCATACTGAAGCTCTGGGCGAGTGACCATCACCACCACACCCTAAAGGAACTCTGTGTGTGTGTGTGTGTGTAAGATGAATATCCCTCACCTCCTCGTCCTCCTCCTCCTCCTGCTGTGTCTCAGGTTGTTGACTCCCTGGACGTGTCCACTCACGGCACCAGAGTGGGTCTGGTCCAGTACTCCAGCCGGGTCAGGACAGAGTTTCCTCTCAACATGTACCACTCTGCTGATGAGATCAAAGCTGCAGTCATGAAGGTGAATCTGACTTTGTTATCTTCAGTTTGATGTTTTCATGTCAGACACAGTGTGAAGAAAGTATTATTCCAGAAAACCAGCCAATACATCACCTGACTGAAATTAAAGCCGGCACAGAATTCATTTTGGAGCAAAATAAAGACAGTGTGATCATTTTAATTATCATTACACAAGTTAAATACAACTTTTAACCCAGTCCTCACTTCACTACACAAACTTCTATTTCATGAGTCGCCAACAGGAAAATATGAAAAGAAACACCTGCTCATTATCTGCCCTGACTTCAGATAGAGACCTGACGACTCCAGGTCCACAAAGTGAAGCCAGTGTGGAAGTGGGACTCCACCCCCTTCTCCTCCACATATGGTTATTGTTACTTCTAGTTTCAAAAAACCAAGATGGCGCAGGACAAAATGCCAAACTCTTCAAAATGGCAGCTCACAAACCAGCGGGTGACGTCACGGTGGGTTGACACTTTTTAAAAAACATTTTCAATCACTTCTGTCCTCGTGCAGGTTGACTACATGGAGAAAGGAACTATGACGGGTCTGGCCCTGAAACACATGCTGGAGAACAGTTTCTCCGAGGCAGAGGGCGCTCGGCCCGCCAGCCGCAACATCCCCCGAATCGGACTGGTCTTCACGGACGGACGCTCCCAGGATGACATCACTGAGTTCGCCAAGATGACCAAAGAAGCCGGTAAGACTTCACCGATGAGAGGGTCCACGCAAATCTACGGTTTATTTTCTGGATCTGTCAGTTGATGAGTTGCTGCAGATGAATGATCTTTGCGTGCACGTTCACAGGCATCACCATGTACGCTGTGGGCGTGGGAAAAGCTGTGGAGGACGAGCTTCGTGTAATTGCGTCCGAACCCGTGGAGAAACATTTCTATTACACCACCGACTTCACCGCCATCAGCACCATCGCTGACAACCTCAAGCTGAACGTCTGCCCAGGTACAATCCTCCACTGAGGAAGCTGCATATTAACAATGTACAAACAAACACACAATACCACACACGCACATTTCACCAAAAACCTTATCACTGCAATACATTCTCAATTCAAGTGCTATATATATATATATATATATATATATATATATATATATATGAGGTTGTGTTTGTACGTAAGAAGTTAATGGTTAAACGTCTTGATTACATTACTTTGTTATAAGAGTTTGAATCATAATCATTTTCCTTTTTTACGACCTTATCTGGCAAAAATTCAAAAACTGTATATTTTCCTCAAACATGTAAAAACTAAATCCTTCATTTGACGACTGAACATACTTCTGATAATTATTGTAGATAAAGAGATAAAGAGAAGAAGATAACGCTGGCAGGGTAATTAAATATCTTGTTATTTGGCTCTACCTACTGGCTAAAGTGCGACATGACAGTTGGGTTATCATTAATAAACCTTAACCCACATATAGGGACACACATTAAAGAGAGAAGTCATTTAGACGTTTCTAATTTTGTTTTCAAGTATTTTAGTTTTCAGTTGGTCCAAGGAACATTCAAGATTAATAATTAATATACCGCTGAAGTGCATAAAGGTTTAAACTGCAGCAGTGCATCATGTGTTTCCTCATAAGTGATATTACCTGCAGCATCGAGACAAATGTGGTGAAGTGAAGGTAAAATAGTTAATGTGGAGGAGTCTACTCGTGTTTCTGAATAAATGACTAATCATCGTATCATAAAGTGAAACTGTAATAGATGAATATACAGTCGTGTGTGTGTGTGTATCCATGTGAATAAACACACTGACGTGTTTGTGTGTGCAGAGGAGAGTCAGGGGGAGATCGAGGTGAAGGACCCGTGTGCCTGTGAGAGTCTGGTGGAGTTCCAGCAGGCGACGATGAGCAGCCTGGAGCAGCTCACACAGAAACATATCCTTTAAAAAACAAAGCTTAACTCTCGACAGTGAACTGAGGTTTGTGACTGAACCTACAAGTGTTTTCTTTTCACTCACACACTCTGTTCTGCTGCTGAATAATCTTACCACAAACCAGTGATTCAATAAATCTGAATCTGTAAACTGACAATTATAAGAAATCTGTCAGATGAACAGTAAATACCAATGAACGTGTTAATTATTCCTTAATCAACTGTCCACTGGCTGGGATGACTGCTCGACTGGAGCAGCTGGAGAACCAGCTTCTCACCAGGAAGTGATCTGGACGTCACAGTGAGCGAACAGGACGCCACAAAGGAAGAACGAGAGAGTGAGGAAGAGGAGGAGGAGGAGGAAGAGGAGGGCACATCCTAGAGAGATCATTTAGAGCAGGAATCAGAAAACCCTTCTAATCAATGGACAATCCAAAGTGTCTTTTCACAAAGCCTCGGTAGCCTTCAGTAGATCTGGTGATCACGTGTATGAGGACGACATTTATCTGACAGCTTGTGATTATGATTCATTTTTCTGGTACAAATTTTAAAACACTCATTGCTTTTAAAAGACAACAACAACAGCGCTAGTTCAATTGTCACTAAGATCTCTGCGCAGAAACAGTTTTTACAAGAGTCAAAAATAAATGCTTGTATAAAACAGATGAATATTAGCAACACTACGCAGCTTTGACTGATCAACAGCGCCCCCTGCAGCCACATGCTGCTGATTAACTCTGTTGGGCTGCGCGTCCGAGCGATGACGAGGTTTTCATGTAAGACAAAGTCTGATCAAAGCTCTGACTGCGTCGTCCCACTCAACTGAAACACAACTGAACGCTGGATATTACCCATGATCCTCTGCTTCCTGAACCAGAAGAGCTGCTGCTGTAACAAATCCACCAAACTCTGTTCAGAATTCTTCATATTTCAAAGTTTCCTGCTGAATACTGGAGATGAACAGGAAGCCTCACCAGAGTTACAGACGCTCAGGGAGTGAAGGAGGAAACTTTCTCCATGTTCACACTCAAACATCAAATTCACATGAATCAATCTGATGATTTAAGGTAGAAAGTTGCAGAGTGTTGCCTTAAATGCATATTTGCGCAAACCCCCAGTTTCCATGTGTCAACCAACAAACAGAGTAAGGATTGATTCAAGACCTCGTCTGACGTGTGTTAGCATCCTCCATGTAACATGTTATCTTACATCATCTTTGCAGACAGACACAAACAGGACCACAGACTTGTTGGTATCTTTGTGAACTTCATGTAATCGATGTTGTGTAGATGTTTTCGAAAGTCACAAACCATCTGTTTCCATTAGTGCCCTATTTATACTTGATCTGTTTTGTACCGTTTGTTAAATATGATGTATTTATAGCATTTTTTTTTACCAACAGTAGACTAGTGATTAAAAAAGTCGGAGGGCAGAGAACAGGAGTTAGTATAATGAAGTGTTGTTACCACTCCCATTTTTGATACGATCATTGTTTTTTTGTTTTCCAGGTAGAAAACTAGTTTTTAAATCACAGGCCTGTTCGGCTTTGTAGTGTGAGAACTGTTGAAAACAAAGGGAAGTGTGAAGTTTCACTATTCACTAAAGCTGTGGTCTGTTGTTGATTGAGGTGTTCATATCATTATAATCAGTATTTTACTCTGAATAAATGACTTTTCTTACATGAAATATTTTTCTTTCTTCACTCTGCACTTTCTACATTTGGTCTAACAACAGTCTCCACATGTTTGTTAAATAATGAAATCAGTTATTGCTCCGTATGTATTAATTCATTGATATGACCTCCTCAACATTGGTAGATTTTCTAAGTCTTGCAATTTTGTATAAAACAAAGACGACCACAAATTTATTCTCCTTCATATTTGAACAACTTTTTGTATATTTCCTAATAACTTTACCTTTTTTATATTTTTCTGATGAATCCCTGTATTACAGCACAGAAGACAATAAAAGAGTGAAATGTCCACTGCTGAGTGATGAGTTACTTTTTTAAATTCCACATTTTTAAGGCCTTATGATGTTGCCTTGTTGCCAGCACTCAGTACGTGTGTATAAGTACAGCTGAAACACCATCTGTATCAAACTACACACACTTCTAGTAGTTTGAAGACAACAGTGGGACTTTGTTCAACTATGAAAACTATGAGGAAGGAGAGCGTGTCATCCACGAACCAGAAGGTTGGTGGATCAATCTCCTGAAATGAAATTTAGACATGTGGAGTTTTCTGTCGTTAGTCTCGTTATGTGACGTCTCGTCACATTATTAGATCCTGTTGGAGTTCTCACTGCTTTAAAAGTTACAAACCGATGATGACACATGACCCGAGTTTGAGTGTAAACAACTAATGGACGTGATGTAAACGGGAATCTGAATTTATTATTCTACCAGCAACTCATGTCAATACTGTAATATAATTGGAATAATATCTTATTCAAAATATATTGTAATATAGTCAGATTGTCGCTGCCTTAACGTCAACAAACTCCAAAGTTTTTACTGAACTTTTCTTGGTACAGTTCTGATGATGATGATGATGATGATGAAGTGATGTCACCTTATTTTCATCAATGGCTCCACAGTTGCTTTAAGTTCATTTCTTTTCATAAAAGGTCAAACGAGTCATGTGAGGGAGTGAAGCTCTTCCAGGAACAAAACCAATTCCTCGTGGATCATCGTGTTTAAAGAGCAGCTCCCTGGGGATCACTTACTGCTTCCAGACGAAGAGCGTCGTCACTGACAATGACCTTAAACATCTGTTCTCGACAGACTGTGATGCAAGACATGTTTGTTCTGACAGGTTCTTTCTTTTTTTGAACAGACAAATAAGTTTTTACTGGAAGAGCAAATTTATTTTTATATTACTGATGAATCTGAAGATTAAAATGTGGAATTATTAACAGAACACATCGTAAAACTTATAGCCAGATTTAATCTGGCTATATGTTTTCTATGATTAATTACCAACCACTTCAAAATGGAAGATAATATTGGACCTAGGTGTTATAATTATTTCTTTCAACATTTGCTTTCAAATATAACTGACGGTGTGAGTTCAAAATGTTTCAGGATAACTTTTCACGAACTAATTAACCACCAACCATTCATTTTGTTCTAAATCAAGTTTTAATTTGAAATATTGAGGATGAAAGATTTTTTTTTTTACATTCGCTTTAAATGTTTTGTTGTGAAATCTGAAATGATGGAACAACTTTTTTTAAGCATCACAAACAAACTCTGACTTGTGATTTGTTTTCGCGGTGAAAGTTTATGAAAGAGTGAACAAGTCAAACAAGTGAGAAACAAAAGTGTCCTCAGCCTCCGTGTGGATTTCCAGCTGATGTGACCAAAGAACACGTCCCCTGAGAACAGCTTGTTGTTTTCAGACGACCTGCTTAATGTCACTGAACTTAATCAGCTGTTCTTCAACTTGTTTATCCATTTATTACAAAAGCCATTTTAAGTAAATGATCATCCTAATGATCCCAGAAAAGAAAACAGCTCCTCTTTAATGATGATGATGAGAAACTCTCTCAGAAGACACGTCTAATAAATCCCTTTGATGCTGAGTGTGTGTGTGTGTGTGCGTAACGAGCTGCCCCAGTGTGTACAACCTTTACCTTGAGGGCCTAATGAGCTCTGAAGAGAAGGAGGCTGTACGTCCTGCAGCACGACTCACTTGCTGAATACACAGAGGGTTAAATGTCAGCAGATCCCAAAGGTTCTTCCTGTGGAAAGTTTGACAAAGTTGTAATGACAGTAAGTTTACTCGAGAAAGTGCAATATTAGTGTTGAGGTGCCGAACAGAGGAAATCAAAAGTTTTTGTTTCTTGAGTGAAAGAAGCTGCAGGAGGCCGTGATTTCACAACCGAATATTAAGAAGAGGTTTCCTGACACTTCCCACGAGGCTGAGATCAAGTGATTAAACGATGTTAAGGGTTCAAAACAACAGAAGTGACTCCAACATTACAAGGCCTGGTCATTATAATATTTAAAGAGCAGATCAATTTGAAAAGTGTTTAATAAAAAACAATAAATACAAATCTAATGAAGGTTTGCGTGG